TTTTGTAAACAATATATGTTTTCATATGATAGGGGTTTTGGGAACACCACTTTTTTGTGAACACTATATTTTTTGGAATTATATGTATTTAAGATATATATATTGTTTTGAAAAATGTATATATATTTTCTTCTTAAGCATATATGTTTTACAATTGTATGTATTTACTATACATATATTGTTTTGAAAAGTATATATATATTCTTATCAAACATATATGTTTTACAATTATATGTATTTTAAATATATATATCGTATTTTTGACAGTGTTCCTGCTTCGTAGACTTTCACCATACCTCTTGCAGTGCTGTTGGACTACATCGTTCTATCTGAGTTGCCCAGTCCGCTTAAGTCTGGCGGTGTTGTACTCATAATGTTCGGTACCGGTGTAGTGGCGGTGTATACATGGTGGAGACATCGCAAAGAAACTCTTCACAAAAATCTCATGCAGAGCTTGGACTTTGATAAGTAAGGAAAACGTGTTATTGTATAATGTATGGAATATGGTGTACAGGGTACAATGTATGGAAACAATAATTCTCCTAGACTAAATAGAATTATGACATGTGCTAGACTAAATAAAATTATGACATATGGTCACTAGAATTCCACGATCTCATACCTTGCCCAAAAATGTCGTTAAGCTTTACTCCCGACGATTTATGAATGTTTCTCATGATTATGCAAATAAAGTCGTCGTTTTGTAGCATTTCCTAACCGATTATACAAATAAGGTCCTGATTAGCAGAAGTCATGTCAAATGGTGTTTACCTCAAATAAAAAGCTGTATACTTAACAGAAATATAGGACAAAGGCGTGTTTTGAGGCGATTTTTGTACGGGTATCTTTTCTTATCCAGCCAAATGGATACACTGTTTTTGTTCCTTCTTTTTCATTGGGGGTTTGGTGACAAACATTGGCGTGTTGATTATTCTCCTCTGGCGTTGTCCAAGATTTCCCTTTACTGTTTTGGTGGCAGAACACTGTATACCAGCGCCATAAATCCGGTGGTCGCCCATTAATACTAAGTAGTGCGGAACAAACTCTTGGATCCTGGCGAGAACGACTTATGTGGGAGGTATCCAATACTTTCGCCACCCAATAAATACAGGCGGACAAAATATCTGCTTGGAGATTAGCATATAGTGAGCTGAGAAAAGAGTCGTGCTACCGGCTCAACAACTAAACTGCCAACCAACCAGATTTCGACACATCTTGTAATCAGGTCAGGGGACAGGCTTTTGCTAATTACTCAAATCAGATATAAACACGAAGCATTAGGTAGTTTTTATTTTATTCATTAAAGCACATAAAAGACAATACTTAGGTAGTTGAAGACCAATGGCAGGACAGATATCCAACAAGTTGGCAAAGGCGCATAATCTGCAATCTTTGTGTTTTCGTAGCGTCAATACAGCTTGTTCCTCAACAGAACTGTGCATTTCCAATTCCCCAGAGACAAGCATCATCTGTCAGGTCTGTGACGGACGAGGATTCGGAATGTGAGCAGTTCAGATGCAGACAACTCACAGTACGTAACAGTAGAGTAGATCTCTTCGGCCAGGTAGGAAGATTCTTTCAGTTTCATTTGCTGAATTGTCAGTTCGGGCTTGAGCTCGAGCGGACAGTTAAATGCATTATCGGCAGTCCATCTACTTATCCAGCCTGGGTGCTGACAACATTTCCTGTAGCTGGCAAGAAGAATTCTCTTCACCAATAATTTCCCGTATCACATCAGTCTTAGGCGGGGTTCGTGTAGTTCTCACTTGATGTTCAAAGCTGAAGAAAAACAATGACAGGCAACTCGGCGACAGCAACCTATAACGAAGAGACCACAGACCGAGAAGGCGCCGGTTTTGCACAGACTTGCCTGACACCTGGAGCCGGTGTGCTGTATGCTCTGCTGAACACAGTTCTGGCCGCCATCGCGTCACAGTTTATGTCCCTGGGCAGCCAGGCAGGCATACCTGGGCTGCAGCTGATGTTCCTCACCAAATTTGGGGAGACCCTCGCTGTTTTGCTCTTCCTGCCCTTCTTTAGACCAAAACTGACAACTGAAAACGGACGACAAACTCTACTCATGGTGCTGTCGACCATTACGGAGAACTTTGGAACTGCCTTCCAGTATATGTCCTTCGTCTTCGTTGTCCCTGGAATCGCCTTCGGCATCATAAAAGGATCATTGCCTTTGGCTTCGGCCTGTCTTGGCTTTTTGTTCTTGGAGGAAACTGTGGGCGTCGTGGATTGTTTCGGAATCGTTCTCAACGTAGCCGGTGTTGTAGTAGTCGCATATGGATTAATTACGGAGAACACTTTGTCCACGCAGCGTCTGGTGGCGTCCATTCTCCTTCCCTTGGCAGCAACATTCGGTAGAGCTCCAAGTCTGGTCATCGCACGGTCGCTCATCGGTGTACAGAAGGTCTCCGTTCTAACCGTGCTCTTCTACGCCAACCTGCCAGGAGCGGTCGTGCTACTCGGACTGACGTACTGGTTTGAGACCCCAATTTGGGCGATGTCGGCACAGACGGTGGGTTATGTTATCGGGCTGTGCCTGTGTGTCTGCGGCTCGCATTTTGCTACAAAACTGTCCCTGAAGACGGAAAATGCGGGGATCACTGCCACCATCAAGACTTTCACCATACCGCTCGCAGTGCTGTTGGACTACATCGTTCTATCGGAGTTGCCCAGTCCGCTTAAGTCTGGCGGTGTTGTACTCATAGTGTTCGGTACCGGTGTAGTGGCGGTTTATACATGGTGGAGACATCGCAAAGAAACTCTTCACAAAAATTTCATGCAGAGCTTGGACTTTGATAAGTAAGTCATCAACGCAAGTGTATAAAACGTGTCATTGTATAGTTTATGGAATATGGTGTGCAGGGTACAATGTATGGAAACAATAACTCTCCTAGACTAAATAAAATCATGACATGTGCTCACTGGAATTCCACGACCTCATACCTTGTCCAAAAATGAAGTTAAGCTTTATAGTTACTCCCGACGATTTATGAATGTTTCTCATTGTTTATGCAAATAAAATCATCGTTCTGTAGCATTTCCTAACCAATTATACAAATAAGGTCCTGATTAGCAGAAGTCATGTTAAATGGTGTTTACCTCTAATAAAAAGCTGTATGTTTAACAGAAATATAGGACAAAGGTGTGATTTGAGGCGATTTGTTTTTGTACGGGTACCTTTTTTTTATCCAGCCAAATGGATACACTGTTTTTGTTCCTTCTTTTTACCCTCCATGTAATGGGGTATTGTTTTTGCTCCGTTTCATGTTTTGGTCTGATATCTGAAGATCGGTGAAAATGAACCGTATGATATTTGGCAGATTGATGGATGGGGCCTTGGAGATTGTGTAGGGTTGACTTTGAGCCCCTGGTGATTGACCTTGGTACTGCAGTTTAATAATGGCTTGGTATAATTTTTGGTATGTGGGTAGTTGTTGAGTCTCTTTGTGTTTTAGAGTGCATTAGCAGGTTGTCGTATATTTGTATTGCTTAATTTAAAAGGATTTCTACATTATCACCCCTATTTTATACACGTAGTAGTGTGGTCTGTGTTGGGACACAGTGTATCTATTTTTACCTCCTGTTTGACAGGCTATATATTTCTTTGGTCTGGTTTTTGGGTCATTGACCTGCCGGCCTTGCTAATGGGGTGGTTTGTTTGTGTTGTGATTGAGAGGTCAATGAACATCTCTACACTCTACTTTCTTATCCATTTTACATCTCACAACACATCATTTATAGATCACATCTCAATTTAACCGCCAGTAAATAATCCTTTTTATAGAGGCGAAAATGGCAGCTTTTTTCAGAAAGCACTTGTTTTAGTTTCTGTGTTTTAGTGTCCATAATAGTTGGTGGTTGTAGATATGTAGTGTAGCTTATTCTGCAATGTATGCTGTGCATTTCTTATTGATTATTTGCTGCCATAGATAAGGACTTGAGACCTGTGGGGTTAGCTTTGGACAGGGAGCTTGGGTGTTGTGCATTCGTAACTTGACTCCTTGCACTCCTACCACCAGGAAAACAAATGTCTCTCAGGCTATTAGGAAATACCATTATTCATGGTGATAGTCTGCATGTCACTTCTGGTAGTCTGTGAAGCCGGCGGGAGGCCACTGTAAAACTCGCTTGAAAGTTTATCTGGGTTGGTACTTACATGATAAAAATTAAAATTGTACCAACACAAAGCAACTCCCTCATTATTCATGGCCATATAACGTCCAATTAAATTTAAATCCAGCTGTCATGTTTTAACAATGAACACATATAACGTGATAACATAAAAAAGAACCCTAACAACACCAACCTCGTTCATGGAGGGAAGATGTCTATTGCTTGTTCTTTAGGGGTTTGGTAACAAACATTCGCCACCCAATAAATACAGGCGGCCAAACTATCTGCTTGGAGATTAGCCTATAATGAGAAACGAGTCGTACTACCGCCTCAACAACTGCTTTTTACCACAGTAATTACACAGTAATTAGCAAAAGCCTGTCCCCTGATGTGGTAACAAGATGTGTCGAAATCTGGTTGGTTGGCAGATATAACGTTAAACACGAAGCAATACAGACGCGGGATTGTCCACATAACATTTTGCTCTCACTGAAACTAACGTTACCTCTGTCCCCTCCTAAAACAATTTTACTCTGCGAATGTAACTGTTACCGTTCAACAATAGCATAGCCAATTATTCTGGTCTCCTGGGAGAGTTTTTCGCTGCCAAAACCCTAAAGTTGTACTGCAAATCCGACATTCTGGCGGCGGCAGTCGGTACGGCCCTTCCCTCGCTGACGGACGTGTTCGAAATGGAACATGTTCGGGGGTTCGATCTTCGATGTGTTCGATCTGGAACCGTCCTAGCCTGGTTACCAAACCTATTATAGCTCCCGAGTCCTACATCCAT